ACCAGTGACAGATCCAGAGCCTGAGTCCGGGAGGGGCACTTGTAGGTTATTTAAAGAAATATTCCATGCACAATAACCACTACTCCTCTGTGTAGTGGTTATGGTGCCAGGAGTGTCGGCACCCCCTCCCAGAGTAAGTAGTCAAACCGTTTAAGAACAGTTTGACAACTTACCTGGAGTCTGCTTGGATATGGGGCTGTAGTAGGGTATAGGAGCAGTGGTGCAATGTGTGAGGGGTGCAATGTGTGAATGTGTATGGTGTGTGTGTGGGGGGCAGTGTGTGAATGTGTATGGTGTGTGTGTGTGTGGGGGCAGTGTGTATGGTGTGTGTGTGTGTGGGGGCTGTGTGTGTATGAGGCTAGAGTTCACTCCTACTACTGTGACCACCAGGAAGTGGTGAGAGTGAACTTTAGCCCATAGTTCCAGGGCTAGAGTTCACCCTCGTGAGAGCCGGAGTGTTGCCCCGGGTCCTCTCTTTCTCTCCCTCACTGCTCCTCTGTGTCAATGTCTCCCCTCTCCTTCCCAGTCTCTCTTTTCCCCCTCTGCCTCTTTCTTCCCCTCCCCTTGTGTGTCTCTCATTTCTCCCTCTTTGTCTCTCTCTTCCCCCTCTGGCTCTTTCATCCCCTTTCCCGGTGTCTCTCCCTCCTCCCCATCTCTCTCCCTCCCCCCTTTCCCTGTGTCTCACCCTCCAACCCATCTCTCTCCCAACCCCCCTTTCCCTGTGTCTCTCCCTCCATACCATCTCTCCCCCATTTTCCCTGTGTCTCTCCCCTCTCCCCTTCTCTCTTCCTCCCCCTTTCCCTGTGTCTCTCCCCTCTCCCCATCTCTCTCCCTCCCCTTTTCCTGTCTCTCCCCATCTCTCTCCCTCCCCCTTTCCTGTGTCTCTCCCCTCTCCCCATCTCTCTCCTCCCCCTTTCCTGTGTCTCTCTCCCTCCCTCCCCTTTCCCTGTGTCTCTCTCTCCCTCCCCTCTCTCTTCCTCACCCCCTTTCCCTGTGTCTCTCCCTCCTCCCCATCTCTCTCCCTCCCCCCTTTCCCTGTGTCTCTCCCTCCTCCCCATCTCTCTCCCTCTCCCCATATTTCTCCACCCCCCTTTACCTTAGAGAAGTCAGAGGGGGCCAGCCGGGTTCCTGTCACTGGCTGCTGATGGCTGAAGGAGGAGGAGCTTGTCTACCATGCTCCCTCGTGGTTCCTGTGCTGGGAATTGTGGGAACCGCGAGGGAGCATGGTACAAAGACAGGCTCCTCCTCCTTCAGCCATCAGCAGCCACAGCAGCCAGTGACAGGAGCAGGGCTGCCGGACCGGGGAAGCTGCCACCCGCCCCGGCGGCTCCAGCCAGGAACCGGGCCGGCCCCCTCTGAGTGCCACCGGACCGGCCACCCGGTGGCACCTATGTGGCACCCCAGCCCCAGGTGCCGCGGCCCACCGGGAAATTTCCCGGTATCCCGGTGGGCCAGTCCAGCCCTGCAGACCCTGCAGCGACCCTACAACCCCAGAGCTACTAACCTGGGTGCTGGCTCCCCGTCGATCGGTCAACATCTCACTGGAGCAAGTTTGAGGCCTAGTTGTGGCCTACCTTGTGGCATGGGGGTGAGGGAGCGGCCGACCCCTCTACCCACAAACTACTGAGAACGACCTGGTGAGATACCCTGATTCTCCCCCCCCCCTGCCGGTGAGGGACATGCCGGCACCTCACGCTGCATCCCTACCCCCGGGACTGACCTGTGCACATGGTACACCCGCCAGGACTCAGACTCGGCACCCCATATGGAGACGGAAAGCGACCCTGAGGGGCAAAACCGTAGCTTAATGGAGGCTTTTGACCACATCTGCGCTGCATTTTGGGAGCGGATCAGACTCCGCATAGAAACGGCAGCAGCCCTCTCTTCACAGACGGCAGACACAGCCATTCTTAAGCATGGCATGCTAGAGGGGAACGGTGAACCCCCTAAACAGCAGCCACACTCATTTGGCCGTCCGATGCTGAAAATCGGAGCCCACAGCGCAAACAACGCATCAGCACCCTACAGAGGAGTCAGAAGAGGCGCCCGCGAACCTTAACACGGAATGGCTGCTCCACACACAGGCATGGCGCCCCAACATCCCAGGGACCGGCACTCAGACTCAACTGCCTCTCCATAACGACTGATGGAGTCACCCCTCACCTACCCAGCTGGAGCACAAGGTGGCGACCGTTCTCCGACCTAAACGCAATGCCTGCGATCTCCCAGCACCAACGGGCTCGCCGACCTTCACACTGGCGCGAAAACCTGATCGACATGCGGCAGGACTGGCTTGCACCTCCTGAAGGCATAGGCTGATAGGGGAGGCATTACAGGACTCTATGGGACTCATGGCACTGGACTGGCTACTTATCGTAAGACCATACTTAGAGAACCCGAAAGTGCCACAAGAGGGATCTCCCGGGGGGATGTAGCAGATAGTTGCTAGACGTATCAACCTTGTCTCCTCAAGCTTGCTCATAAATAACCCTTAAATCTAATGTCAGCAAATGAATATGTTACAGTCTCTCAAAATCTTATATCAGAGCTGACATAAAAACTAACCTTGTGATTAATCTACTTTATTTCATAAAATGTGCAATGTTATTTTATGCCACACAATTGTTTTTCTATGATGTCTAATGAGCTTGCAAATCTGTTATATTGTGCAAGTGAAACCTACTATTTGAGCAACCGCTAACTCACCATTGCACCCATATCTTAAACAACTGTTTGTCTTGATATGTTTACTTGATGTTTTAAAAAAAAAAATATGGCAGTCTTTTGTAGAAGTGTACTTCACTCCATCTTGTTTTTATCAACTTGTGTTACCCCACAGTGCCTCCTCCTTTTATTCTGTATCCCATAACGCAAATGCCATAATAAAAGAAAGAATTACAAAATAATAAAGAAATATATGACCTGTATTGTGAGGTTAGAGTCTTTTTTGACCAGTTTTCTGATAAACTGAACAGTCTCCAAACTCGTTTGTGGTCGGTTTATCTGCAAAGTCTTGTGGCATGTTAGTAAATGTGTTTTGTATTGAGTGTTCTTGGATATGTACCGCAGAGAGTTCTTTAGTTGGAGGGATGTAAAGTCCTCTCATTTCTCAGGCAGTTACTCCTTTTCCTGATGGTTGTCTCCATTGAGGTGAGATGTATCATTGGTCTGTTTCCTCTTTTTAGATGGTGTATTCCATATTTGGTGTTGTGGTAGTCTTAGTGTTTCGGAATTTGCTTTGGGGGAGTACCAGTCCAGTACTTGGGTATCTGGCAATCCAAGAGCACTTAAAAAGGGTTTCACGTAGGTGTGTGGATATCGAGTGGGTAATACCTTTGTGGTTGACTATTAATGCGAAGGGAAAGCCTCATCTGTATTTTATGTTGCAAATACAAAGGTGCTCGGTGATGGGCTTAAGTATGTTGTCTTTTACTGAGAAGTAGTGGACCCGGCATATTATATCCCTCAGCAATTCTGTGGCTGATCCCCTCGGTCAGAGTGAGCTATGGGCCCTCTCCAGGACCATCCGGGTGTCACTTGCCTCTCCCAATATGAGATTAAAGAGCTCAGTTAAGGGTTGCCATTATGTCTTCCCCTTGTGCTTCCAGTATTTCCTCATGTAAGAGGGACATAAACATAGTGAGGTGGAAGTGAGACAGTGTTTAAGAGGCCTGGCTCAATGTAGTCTTATTGAACAGGAAGGCACTCGGTTGGTCTATACTTTCAATATCAATAATGAAAATGTCAAAGTGCCTGTCAAAATTTTAATATCAATGCACTTTGTGTACATACACACAAGTTATATTTGCTCTTTTAACTAGCTATAGATAAAGAATATTGTATTTTCTCAATACACAATCAGCGAGAGAAACTTAGCAGTACATTCACAGAACGCTCATCAATGTTGTATCTCAGATAACGACTTATATATTTAAAATGATAACTTTAGGTGTGCCCCTGGGAAAATGCTGAAAAATATTATCAATAAATATTTTATATGCAGACTGGTTGACAAGAATGTGCATATCATGTGCTCATTTTATAAGAGAATTAAACGTTAAAGGGAAAACAGCCAAGCTAGCAATTATGCAACTTGCATTTTAATGTTTAGTCCAATATCACTTGATCATATGAATATATTTATATAAGATGTTGCCTGCCACATGATTTGCTGTGTGGTTATTTGGAATAAGAAGCAAGAGTACCTGAGAAGGGATTTCTAAAAAGGAAGGGGAAGGTGATACACAGAACTGGTTTAAGGGCCTAGGAAGGATCCTGTAACGGAGCTTCCTGTACCCCGGTTGGGTACCTCCGCCGACAGATGCTCCTAGTGCTCACCGAGGACTCCAAGCACTCCACCAGACACCATCAGCACTGCAGTCCCCACGTCCAGCGCTACAGCTTGGCTGGGAACTCGCCGTCTCTTACCCACCCTGGACCCATGACAAGGCTCCAGGTTCCAGTGGGTGAACCTCTCTTCCTCCAGAGAGTCAAGCAGGGACAGCTCTTAAAAGAGTTTAGTGATTATAATCCCTGCGGAGTATACTGATATAGCTATCCCCAGGGTAGATGCAGCCTTTTCCCACACACATGAGACAAGACTCTATGTTGAGGGTAAAACAGGAACTCTTTAATGAAAAGCAAGCACTTACAATTTACACACACATTTTAACCCCCAACAGCCTCATTTACATACAATAGGTTACGTAGAGCACTATAGTACAAGGAAGGGTGGGGTCAGACAATAGCAAGGGCTGATGGGAGATTGAGGAGGGACAAAGCAGCCAGTTTAAGCTGGTCTGGCAGTGTCCCTGGGACAATGCCCTGCTGGGGAAACAATGGGGAAACAATAGGACAGGAAAAAGGGGGAGGGGAAGAGGCACATTTTCCCATGGAAGTCATTTTTTAACATCTTTTTGCAGGGCCCATATTCTTTGGGCAGGATGCTGGCCCCTCCAAAAACCAGTGGCAAGGTCATTTTCGCCTCAGATCCCCAATTTGGTCCACCTCCGGGAACTCTGTTTTGTGACTGAGTGTTCTATGTATGTGAGCAAGACTGGAGTTTGTGTAGTGGTTGTGTGTGTGTGGAGGAAGCTGAGAGCTGTATGTGGGGTGAGGGATGCTGTGTGTGCCACTGTGTACTGTTTGAGTGTTATGTGTGGTGACTGAAATTGTTTGTGGAGGACACTAAGTGTGTTGTGTGTGTGTAGGAGAGTCTGAGTGTTGCTGAGTATTGTATGTACTGTGGTGAAGTTGTTCTTTTGCCGCCCTCCTTCTGCTTACCTTTTTGGCAGCAGGAGTGGTCCATTAATTGGTACACTTTATTGAAACCCTGTTTGGTCTGGTAGAGGGTGAACGGGGAATAAGAATTCCTGTAGGTCTGGCGGGGGAGTATGGTGGTGGGCACCTATATCAGATGCAGATCACTTTAAGAGCTCCCTGGTTCTTCTAGTACTCACTTAATGCCTCAAAGCACTAGCTGCAGTGCTTTGAGTCATTGGCAAGGGCTGGGGAACCACAACTGAACTTTTAATGTAATCTTCACCCCAACTAGGTGAGGGGAACACAGGGCTGAGCATGGAGACCTCTTTATCTCACAGCTAGCTCAGGGAGGTCAGGGAGGTCCCCTTGCAGCCAAAGCTGAAACTCCAGGCCTAGACAGGGGCCTATGTGTGAGTCTGGGCAATAGGCAGCAATCTAAACTATCTTATGGGTAATCTGGCTCTGGTGACAAAAATGGTTCACATTCAGGGATATCAGAATGGATGTCTGAGAAGCAATTAGAAACATAGAAACATGGATTGCAGGATAAAACTTACAAGGAAAGGTAAAAGGAACTTAACATATATAGTTTGGAGGAAAGACGAGACAGGGGGAATATGATAGAAACATTTAAATACATACAGGGAATCAACACAGTAAAGGAGGAGACTATATTTAAAAGAAGAAAAACTACCACAAGAAGATTACATAGTCTTAAATTAGAGGGGAAAAGGTTTAAAAATAATATCAGGAAGTATTACTTTTCTGAGAAGGTAGTGGATGCATGGAATAGCCTTTCAGCTGAAGTGGTAGAGGTTAACACAGTAAAGGAGTTTAAGCATGCGTGGGATAGGCATAAGACTATCCTAACTATAAGATAAAGCCAGGGACTAATGAAAGTATTTAGAAAATTGGGCAGACTAGATGGAATGGTTCTTATCTGTAATCATATTCTATGTTTCTATATTTCAATGGATTAGTTTACACTAAATTCCAAACCTGCCATCTGAATGTCGAAGACAGAGAGCATAAAACCTTGGAGTGGCATTCAAAGAAACAGCACAATTTTGTAGTAAAAATAAAAAAAGGAAGCATAGCTGTATATAACATGCCAATCTATCATAAATTGTGACATCACTGGAGCCATCTATTTAAGAAAACAAATGTTAGCTAAACATACTTATAAATGGTAATTAAAGGTGTAACGTGGGTGAGCAAAGGTTCAGAGCTAGACTGTACAGCTCAGTATGAGCCTTGAGCCATAAAGGGAGAGGGAGCCTGGGCCCATTCTCTTGAAGTGTGGTAAATCTTTCCCCACTAACCAATGCAGTCTTCCTAGTAGTATGTGACGATACTCTTTTCTAGATAGTTACCCCACCAGCTTTTTTACTGTATTTACCTATAATCAAAAAAATGGTCACAAGGGGAAAAGAACATTTGTAATATTATGGCAAAGGGGCAAGGGAATAAGTTGAATTTGTTCTGATTCAAGCGATTTGTACTACGAGCATTTGGTTTTCACCATAAATAAATCCTTTCTGTGCTCTCAATATACATCTGTATACTATATATGTTTTATGCACTGTAGATACTTAAAAAATGAGGAGCATTATGAATTAATTACTTAATTAATAAATAAATAAATACAAAAATAATCTTACTAACTAGTTATGTTGCCCTTTTACCATATAATTTAACGGAAGACAATTGGCATTATATAATGCGTTTCTTTTTGGGTTTTTTAAAATTTATTTTTAGGATTGGACGTATTACCAAGTACGCCTCCATCGACTGACTCTAGATTAAAAATATCTCATCACTCAGTAACCACCAGAGTGTATCAAAGGTCAGCAATCACAAGAGCACAAAGACATTCAACACAACAGGATATATCTGTAACGATAACAAAACAAACCAATATAAAAAGGTAAGAATTACATTTCTGAAAATACTTAAGATTTTTCGGTCAAGAATATATTTCAGAGATGACCAACTGAGTTTCTTTCTTGTGCCTCTTCCATTTTGATAGTATCCGATACAACTAACTTAAATGACATTCAAAAATTGAAACGTGAATTAAATTCATTATAGAATAATTCTGCATATATTTACATATAATTTAAGAGTCAAATCAGAGTATTTTATTTTCTCTCAATTATTCCACTTTTTGTGCCAATATTTTATTTCAATAATATTCATTGGCAATTGACCAACTTACACTTATTTCTCTTTGACAACCGAAGGAGAATTTGGTGAAAATGTGTGATGTTAGTATTTCTCTTTTTATGCACTAATATGTTCATTTGGAGGTATTTTTGATGTCTCTTTTACCACTTGTTGCCTCTTTTTACTTACTTCTTTTCTTTCTTTATTTCCATCTTTTTTTTTCTTTGTCTTTCTTCTGCTTTTCTCTCTTCTTTTATTATTGTTATTTTCTGATTTTAAGTCTTCACTTATTAAACTGACACTTTTAAATTTAATGTCTTCATATTTTACCCATTTATGTTTCACACACTCTTTACATACAGGTGATACTCGAAAAATTAGAATATCGTGCCAAAGTTCATTTATTTCAGTAATGCAATGTAAAAGGGTTAACTAATATATGAGATAGATGCATTACATGCAAAGCAAGATAGTTCAAGCCGTGATATGTCGTAAGTGCGATGATTATGGCTTACAGCTCATGAAAACCCCAGATCCACAATCTCAGTAAATTAGAATATTGTGAAAAGGTGCAATATTCCAGGCTCACAGTGTCCCACTCTAATAAGCCATAAAACCTGCAAAGGGTTTCTGAGCCTTTAACCCCTTAAGGACGGTGGGCATTCTATGCCGTCTTTAGGGAACCGGCTCTAAACGCCGGAGGGCGTCATAGAATGCCCAAGCATTCTATGTACTGGGAGCCCCTCCATCCTCTTCGGCTCCCCTGGGCCATGTGATCACCAGGTCCTTGTGAGGACCTCATGATCACATGGACAGCATAGCCGTCCAAGGCATTGCCAGCAGAGGGAGTGCCTGTAATGACCTGCTATCTGAAAATAAAATGAAATAAAGTTAAAACAGTGTTAAAAAAATAATATATACTTAGATCATATATATATATTTATTATATAAATAAGAGATAGGAGTGGTGATGTTGTGATGTTGGACTAGCCAACATCAGAACCCCACGATAGGTTACAGGAGGTAAAAAGGGGGCTTAACCCCACAATAAGTCAAATTACTCCAAACTGAAAGAATGGGATAGAAAAAAACGCTCACTTAAAGGTGAATGGGATTTGGTCTCATTCCAGAAATTACCTCCTAAATTAAACGTTACAAAAAATATAGTAATAACCTTTATTGTTATAAAAGTAAGCAAAAAATAATAATAAGCAAAAGATAAATATATAGGTATGAAACCTACCCTAAATAGAAACCAAGGTATTGCAAATGGGGTATGTCCAGTCTTTTTTAGTAGCCACTTAGTCACAAACACTGGCCAAAATTGGCGTTCAAATTAGTTTTTTGCATTTTTCACACACAAACAAATATTAACACTAACTATGGCCAGTGTTTGTGACCAAGTGACATACCCCATTTGCAATACCTTGGGTTGTCTACTTTTGCAAATGGTATGCCATCATGGGGGTAATTCTCATTCCTGGGCTACCATACGGTCTCAAAGGCAACGTAACCAATCTGGCGAATTTCAATGTGAGAAAACTGAAAAATGTACATGCTATATTTGACCCTGTAACTTCCCAAAACACCATAAAACCTGTACGTAGGAGGTACTGTTTTACATTGTGAGACATTGCTTAATACAAATATGTGTATTTTATTGCAGTAAAAACAAACAGTATTATGACATTCACAGTTAGAATGTCACGTAGTACTAAAAATGTTTTTATAAATTCTTATTTGTTTCCCATTTTCTTAATATTTTATTCATATTAAATTGTGTCATACCTAAATATTTGATGTTAAATTAAAGCCCTGTTTCCCCAGAATAAAATGATGTATAATAAGTGTGGGTGCACATAATATGAAAGAGGCGAATTACGCCTGAACAGACATATAGCGCAAATTCAAGTTTTTGTTTATGTTTTGTTTTGATCACAATATGTACATTTGGCTCGGTCCTTAAGAGGTTAAATGGTCTCTCAGTCTGGTTCAGTAGGAATCACAATCATAGGGGAAGACTGCTGACAGTTGTGCAGAAAACCATCATTGACACCCTCCATAAGGAGGGAAAGCATCAAAAGGTAATTGCGAAGGAAGTTGGATGTTCCCAAAATGCTGCATCAAAGCACATTAATAGAAAGTTATGTGAAAGGGAAAAGTGTGGAAGAAAAAGGCGCACAAGCAGCAGGGATGACCGCAGCCTGGAGAGGATTGTCAGGAAAAGGCCATTCAAATGTGTTGGGGACTTTCACAAGGAGTGGACTGAGGCTGGAGTCAATGCATCAAGAGTCACCACACACAGACGGATCCTGGACATGGGCTTTAAATGTCGTATTCCTCTTGTCAAGCCGCTCCTGAACAACAAACAACGTCAGAAGCATCTTACCTGGGCTAAAGAAAAACAGACCTGGGCTGTTGCTCAGTGGTCCAAAGTCCTCTTTTCTGATGACAGCAGCTTTTGCATCTCATTTGGAAACCAAGGACCCAGAGTCTGGAG